AGGGGGACATATAGAACTTTCACTCACCCAGATATGGTAATTTTGGAACTCTAGGGAATATTTCATGAATTTTTCAATTCAATTTAAGGGGCTGTCATGAAACCGTTCTGCGTTTCCTATATCTGATATGATATTTAATGATTTTTTTGGACTAAATGGACTCCAATGAGTTTGAAATTTTAGCAGTAGATAGTACATGAATATATCTTCTCAGGAATTTTTAATTTTCTTCAATTGGAATTCCTAACTCAAGTTATGAAAATCTAAAGTGTGGGAGCAATTACATGTTCGTCATGTGTTAAACTAGGTGAAGAGGAATAAACCTTTATTGTTCCTTATTTGACTAATATGGGTTACTAATAGTATTTTAAGTATCTTAAGTGAGTTGAAAAAATACTTTGGGGGCAAATGATGGAGAGGCAAGTGATTAAAATAAGAAGAGATAGGTCGGAGAGCAAGAGCAAAACGTCTTGAATTAGAAGAATATAATGTTTAGATTATTCTTTGATGAGTTTATGATGGAATGTATTGATGGGATTTTGTTGCATTTAAAAAGTTCAAAACACCAACATTATTTATGCTGGATACCACACTAACTTGAAGAGTAGTTATGCACTTTGATTGGTAGTGGTAGAAAGTTGGTGATGTTAAATTTTCTATTGATAGGAGGAAGTATTTCGATGAAGTTGTAATAGTAGTAGGTATGTCTAAGTGGAGGGTGTGCTAAAGGGGAAAATTTAACCTCATAGTATATCAAATATTTATCTTGAAAAGATGATGTGAGGAGGTTAAAAAAATAGTAAGATTCTCATGCTACTTGGTTATGTGTAAGTTAAGACAGAATACTAGAAATTGGTTTGATTGCATCAATGATTAGAAGAGGTTGTAGAGTTGCATGGAGTTCCACCAACTTAGTTATGGATTAAGAACTATAAATTACTTTATGCCTTGATAAAGCTTTCAAGAAGCTTTGGGTACTATCCCAAACTAAGGATCAATATGAAAGAACAATTTGAATTGTAGGCATTATGCTAAGATCTTATATTTTGGCTCTTAGTAGAAGGTAGGATAATTTATTGATTTTAATAGAAAGGGTGTGTAATAATAGATATCAAAATAATATTTACAATTTTTGAAGTTGTACAACATAGAAAATACCTATATGATCATTCCTATGTGATCGAGACTCAAGAGATATAAATAAACTCAAATTTATCATGCGAAGAAACTTCTATTACCATTGTTGATAGATAAGTGAAGAAGTTGTGATAGAAGCAAGTTGCTTTAGTGGAAGTGTTGTAGCATAACCATCATTGGAGAAAGCTACATGAAAGCCAAAAGTAAAATGGATGTTAAGTACTTGCAACTTTTCAAAGATTGAGGTAAGCATACTAAATTTAGAGGACTGAATTTCTTAAGGGGGAGAATGTAATAACCCATAATTTTTAAGTAAAATTTAAAATAGGAAATAATATTTTAAGAGTATTTTATAGTTTTGGAATAAATTGGACAAGAAGAAGAGCTGGTCTAGTGGAGATTATGCGATCATTTATTTAATTGGTCTTGGTTTGAATCTTTCAAGGACCGAGAGAGAGTGAAATTTTTTATTTTTGGTTCAGCTTTTAGCAATTACCATTTTGCCTATAAAAAAACAAAAAAAAAAAAGGATTGGAATGGGGATGAAAGAAAATCTGATTGAGGTAGTAAGGGAGGATTGAGCTTTAAAGGGTAAATCAGGTAAGTGGATAGCATTCCCAACTAATTTCCAATCAAATTTATCTTTGCTAAAATATTACATTTTTATGTAAATCATTTAATAACAAACATGTGATTATTGCTTATTTTGATATTTAAATTATTTATTATGAAACTCTTTATAGATTTGATAATTTTAGTTCATCAATAAATACAAGTTTGAACTTTGATTATGAGATTTCATTCTATTAAATCTTGGATTGATTCAGAGAAGATCATGCAGTTTGACTTTGAAACATTACTACAAAATAAGTTACAGGAGCGTTTTTTTTTACTTTAGGGAGCACTTTTGAAGCGCTCTCGTATCGATTGCTCCAAAATGTATAGGAGCGCTTAAACAAAAAGCGCTCTGTATATTTACGCTATACAGAGCGCTTTTCGAAAAGCGCTCCGTAAGAGAATAGCCACATACGGGAGCGCTCTCTACAAGCAGCACCTCCTCGTATACAAAACCACTACCGGAGCGGCTTTATAAAGAGCACTCCCGTATGAACCATATAGGAGCGCTCTCGGAACGGCTCCCGTTTATGTTACTTTAATTTTTTAAATCAGATTTTTTGAAATTTCTCCTTTTACGTGATAGGACGGGACGCGGAAGCAGAATCGTGCTAGTTTAGGGACAGAACCCTGAAACAACAAAAAACACAAGAACAAAAAAGAAAGGGACGAAATTTATGACGGAAATAAAGAAAGGTATGAAGTAAACAATAGGATAATGATCAAGGAGAAGATCCTCTAGAGCACCTGCCTCTAGGAACCTCAACCTTCGAAGACACCACAAGAGTTGATCACGCTCTTGATCACGTCGGTTTCTCACACGGGATACCACCACAAAGCACTAAGGCTCACAAGAGTTATAAACTCTAAAATGAATAATTTCATTCAACTTCTGTGTTGTTTACAATAGGGAGCATGCCTAATTTATATAGGCTTATAGAAAAAATATTTCCTAAATTAAAACCCTAATTTCTATACTAAAAAGGAGAAATAATGATAAAATATTTAGCCACATAATTTAGGAGATGTGATCCTAAAAATTATGGGATTACAAAATTTAGAAATTAATATTATAATTAATTCTAACCTTTGACTAGACTCAAAATAGAAAATCAAATCAAAGGACCATTAAAATAGGAAATAATTTAGGAGACAATCAAGGGATCATAAAGGATTTGAAATCACGCCACTCTTGACTTCTTTACTAGGGTTTCATGTCTCCTTGCATGCAAGAGGCTCAACTTGTAGTCTTCCTTGCATTGGGCTAAGGTCTGCATCTCTTGGGCTTGACTCTTCATGAGTTTGGATCTTAAATACATTATACACATATAGATGCTCTCCTTTGGGCTTGAGGGAGTGCCCCAATGCTCTCCAAGCTCTTGAACTTCTTGCACAAGACTGAACAAGGCTTGCTTCATGGCTTTGGTTCGGGCTCTTGTCATTGGACCTCCAATATGTTGCAATGGGTCTTTAGGTACGTTGGATTGGAAGTATTGGCTCCTTCTATGTCACCATGCTCATGATTACCATCCTCAGGCTTCGTTGCCATTAATGCTATGTCACCTGTGCCATGGGGTCCATCATTCCCTCCCAGTTGGAAAGGATTCGTCCTCGAATCTGCAGAATCATATAAAGATAAATCAGAAACATTAAATGTGGCACTAACATTGCCATAAGAGCTAGGCAAATCAATCTTGTAAGCATTATCATTAATTCTTTCCAAAACTTGAAAAGGTCCATCTCCTCGAGCTTGAAGTTTGGACTTCCTTTGATTAGGAAATCTCTCTTTCCTTAAATGTAACCAAACCCAATCTCCAGGCTCAAAGATCACACGTCTCCTGCCTTTATTAGCTTGCTTGGCATATTGCTCATTCTTTCGCTCTATATTTGCTTTAACCTTAGCATGTAAGTCCTGCACAAACTAGCTTTTTCCTTGCCATCAGTGTTAGCATGCTCAGAGAAAGGCAAAGGTAAAATATCAATAGGAGATAATGGATTGAAACCATAAACAATTTCAAATGGAGAATAAGAAGTAGAAGAATGAACAGCCCTGTTGTAAGCAAATTCAATATGAGGTAAACAATTCACCCAATTCTTCAAATTCTTCTGAATTATTGCTCTTAATAATGTAGTCATAGTTTGTTAACTACCTCAGTTTGACCATCAGTTTGTGGATGGGCAGTAGTGGAAAAAAGTAACTTAGTCCCTAATTTATGCCATAGGGTACGCCAGAAATGACTAAGAAACTTCACATCTCTGTCACTCACAATAGTCTTAGGTAAACCATGCAAACGAACAATCTCTTTAAAGAATAAGTCAGCAATGTTAACAGCATCATTAGTCTTAGCACAAGCAATAAAGTGTGCCATCTTAGAGAACCTATCAACAACAACAAATATGGAATCTTTGCCTGCAGAAGATTTAGGCAATCCAATTACAAAATCCATAGAGATATGTTCCCAAGGGTGAGAGGGGACGGGTAAAGGAGAGTAAAGTCCATGAGGTTGGATCTTAGATTTTGCCTGTCTACATTTAATGCATTTATCACAAACAGATATGACATCTTTCCGCATGTGAGGCCAAAAGAAATGATCAGACAAAATAGCCAAAGTTTTATCTACACCAAAGTGTCCCATCAAACCACCACTATGTGCTTCCTTAGTAAGCAACTCACGCATAGAACAAATAGGAATGCATAATTTATTTTTCTTAAAAGAAATCCATCAAATTTAAAGAAATCACCAGATCCATGATTTTCACAAGATTTCCAAATATTTTCAAAATCAGGATCAGTTTTATAAAGATCTTTTAGAATCTCAAAACCAAGTAATTGAGCATGCAAATAGGAAAGTAATGTATACCTTCGAGATAAGGCATCAGCAACGATATTTTCTTTACCTTGCTTATGCTTAATCACATAAGGAAAGGTTTCAATAAATTCCATCCAGCGAGCATGTCTCTTGTTTAACTTACCTTGAGACTTGAGAAACTTTAAACTTTCATGATCAGAATGAATGATGAATTCCTTGGGCCACAAATAATGTTGCCATGTTTCTAAGGCCCTCTTTAGAGCATAAAGCTCTTTGTCATAGGTGGAATAATTCAAAGCTGCGCCGTGAAGCTTTTCACTGAAGTAAGCTATGGGCTTAGAATCCTGCATTAAAACAGCACCTATACCAATACCAGAAGCATCACATTGAATTTCAAATGCTTTAGAGAAATTAGGCAAAACAAGTAAAGGGGCATTAGTCAATTTATCCTTTAGGGTTTGGAAGGCCCTTTCTTGTGTTTTATCCCATTTAAAGGTCGCATTCTTCTTAACAAGTTCATTAAGAGGGGCAGCAATGCTAGAGAAATCCCTAACAAATCTCCTATAGAAGCTTGCTAAGCCATGGAAGCTTCTCACTTCACTTGCATTCTTAGGGGTTGGCCATTCACGAATAGCCTTAACTTTCTCCTCATCTACACGAATTCCCTGTGATCCAACAACAAATCCCAAAAAGATAACAGAGTCCATGCAAAAGAAACACTTTTGAAAATTAGCATATAATTATATTCCCTCAAGATGTCAAACACATTTTTAAGATGATTCATATGATCAGTCAAAGATTTACTATAAATCAAATATCATCAAAGTAAACCACAACAAACTTGCCTATAAACTTTCTAAAAACATGATTCATTAATGCCATAAAAGTGCTAGGAGCATTAGTCAAACCAAAAGGCATAACTAACCATTCGTATAATCCAAATTTAGTTTTAAAGGCAGTTTTCCATTCATCACCCTCTTTCATACGAATTTGATGATAACCACTTCTAAGATCAATTTTAGAAAAGATAGAAGCACCATGTAATTCATCAAGCATATCATCAAGTCTAGGGATAGGGTAACGATACTTTACAGTGATTTTGTTGATTGCTCTACAATCAACACACATCCTCCAAGATCCGTCTTTTTTTGGCACCAAGATAACAGGGACAGCACAAGGGCTAAGGCTCTCACGCACAAAGCCTTTCATCATCAATTCCTCTACTTGGCGCTGGATCTCCTTAGTCTCTTCAGGGTTAGCCCTATAAGCAGGCTTGTTTGGAATAGCAGCTCCAGGCAAGAAATCTATCCTATGCTCAATTCCTCTTAAGGGAGGAAGTCCATCAGGAATTTCATCAGGGAATAGATCTCTATAATCCTGCAACAAAGAGACAACACTAGAAGGCAAAGTGGGGTCAAAAGTATTAGTAGAAAAATAAATATTCTTGGGAATTACAATAAGAGCTTGCTCACTCATCAAAGCCTCTTGAATCTTACTTTTCCCACACAATAATATTTTTTTTTCACTATTTTCCTTCACTCCCACCATTCTATTTTTTCTTTTCTCACCTTCTCACCACTCTTTTTCCTCTCTTTTGATTGATTTTCAAGTAAAGTAATACTCTCTTTCTTTTCTCTCTCACTCATGCCACAATCAAGGAGATCTCTCCTTTGCTTGTAATCTTGAGTAATCTTTAGTTGATCTTCATAGGCTTGGATGGGCCTAAGAGGATTTAATACAACAGTCTTGCCTTTAAAAGGCACCTTGTAACAATTTCTAAAACCATCATGAGTAGCCTTACTATCAAACTGCCAAGGCCTACCTAATAACAAGTGTCCAGCAAGCATAGGGGCTACATCACATAATACATCACAAGTATAAACTCCAACAGAGAAAGTAATCAACACTTGCTTAGAAACCCTAATTTCAGCAGAATCATTCAACCATTGCAATTTGTAGGGCTTAGGGTGTGGAATTAAAGGTAAAGATAATTTATCTACAAGTAAAGTGCTAGCGACGTTAGTGCAACTACCACCATCAATTACCATGCTACACACTTTCTCTTTGATGAAGCATCTAGTGTGAAAAATATGCTCGCGTTGCTCATGTTCATCATCCTCCTTTGGTTGAATATTGAGAGCTCTTCTTGCCACCAAGATAGAGTCAACTACACCATTGCATTCAAGCTCATCATTTGATTCATGGGAGGTAGAATCATCATCAACATTATCAGCATCATCTTTATCACTTTCATGCACACTATCATAGCCACCATCATCTCTCAAGATCATAACCCTTTTATTGCTACAATCTCTCGCCATGTGGCCCACACCATGACATTTGAAACACTTAATAGGAGAAGTGTTAGATGAATAAGAAGAAGGTTTAGGGTTAGAAGTTTTACCCTCATACTTGGTCTTTATTTCTTCCTTGGCCTGGGATGTATCTTTGGCTTTGGAATCCTTCCATTTGGAAGTTGTCTTGGAGTCTTTCCAAGAGGACTTGGAACGTTTGTTCTTATTTCTCTGCTCCAACTTTATAGCCTTGTGTATGAGCTCTTCCTTGTCCACAAAAGTGTACAAGTCAAGCTTATCTCTCAACTCTGGCCTCAAGCCATCCATAATTCTTGACATTGCTTCACGTTCATTTTCTTGAATGTTTGCACGAAACTTCAAGATATTCAACTCATGCACATACTCCTCCACTGTCATAGATCCTTGAGAAAACATTCTCAATTTTCTATTCAGCTCTGTATAGTAGTAGCTGGGGACATAAGCCTTTCTCAAGTACCTTTTAAGCTTCTCCCACGTTTTAATAGGCTTTTTCCCAAGTTGGCTTCTTTTGTACTGTAAATCTTGCCACCAATAAACAGCATAGTCAGTGAAATTCAAAGAAGCAGTTTTTACCTTCCTTGACTCAGACAAATCAAGAGTCATGAAGATTTGGTCCATCTTCATTTCCCAATCAAGGTATTTTTCTGGATTGTTACTACCCTTGAATGAAGGATACTTTACTTTTTGGTCCGGTAAGTCAACACCACGCTTTGAGGATTTCTTTCCCTTAGGAGAAGGGGGTTCTTCATACTCCTCATCATCGCTGGGGATCTTATGCTTCTTTCCTTTAGAAGAGGAAGTCTCCGGCTCATCTTTATCCTCTTTATGGAACCTATGATCAAGTTCCAAGCGAAACTGCTGCAACTGTGTTTTGATAAGTTCTAAAACAGAGTTCATATCAATACTAGGGGATTCATCCTTGTTACTCATGTTCACAGAAGCACTAGAAACCATATAAGATAAAAATAGGTCCTCACACACACAAACTCACGTGTTTACTCTCAAGATAAAGTCACTCGTGATTCACAAAAAAAAAAGTAATGGCTTTCTTTTTTTTTTTTAATAATGAAAAACACACTTGCCTTTTACCACTCACTAAGCTTGTGGATAGAATCCAATGGTGAAACCCACAAATCAAGAAACTAAGGAACAATCAAGTGAATATCTTCTAAATTAAGGAAACTAGAAAACAAGCACAAGGTGAAAAGAGGATTTTTTTTTTTTTGCAATTTTGAAACAAATAGGAAAGCAAAATTTTCAAATAAAATTAAGCTTGTTAAAGGAAAAACCACACGTGACAACAAAAAATAAGAAAGAAAGAAATAAAAGTCAAAGAGTCAAATACTCAAAGACAAAAATAAAAAAAAAACTAAATAAAATAAGAGAGTAGCACAAATAGCAAATAAGAGAGTAGAGAATTTGAAAAGTGCTACCAAAAATAAAAATAAGAAAGTGATCAACGTAAAAGACTTTCTTATCACCCAAGTTGACTTTTCTCTTTAAGTAACCTCTTGGTGACTTGGAGTTCAAGAATAGCCTTTTTCACAGCAATATATTTTTTTGTAAATTTTTTTTTGAATTTTCGGATTTTTTTTTCTCTTTTTTTTTCTCAACACACTAACACTTTTTTTTTTGCCTTTTTTTTTGCACGAATTTCTAGGTATTTTTTTCTCTTTTTTTTTTAGAAGGCTAATAAAATGAAAACTCACATAAGATAAAAAGTCACAAAGATGAAGAAGAGAAAAACCAAAAGATAGAAGTAGATGGGGTAGATAAGAGATGATCACAAAAAAAAAATAACTCAAGATGAAAAAGAAGAAGGAAGGACAAGAATTTAAACCAAAACTAGCAACCAAAGCTCTGATGCCAATCTGATAGGGACGCGGAAGCAGAATCGTGCTAGTTTAGGGACAGAACCCTGAAACAACAAAAACACAAGAACAAAAAAGAAAGGGACGAAATTTATGACGGAAATAAAGAAAGGTATGAAGTAAACAATAGGATAATGATCAAGGAGAAGATCCTCTAGAGCACCTGCCTCTAGGAACCTCAACCTTCGAAGACACCACAAGAGTTGATCACGCTCTTGATCACGTCGGTTTCTCACACGGGATACCACCACAAAGCACTAAGGCTCACAAGAGTTATAAACTCTAAAATGAATAATTTCATTCAACTTCTGTGTTGTTTACAATAGGGAGCATGCCTAATTTATATAGGCTTATAGAAAAAATATTTCCTAAAATTAAAACCCTAATTTCCTAATACTAAAAGGAGAAATAATGATAAAATATTTAGCCACATAATTTAGGAGATGTGATCCTAAAATTATGGAATTACAAAATTTAGAAATTAATATTATAATTAATTCTAACCTTTGACTAGACTCAAAATAGAAAATCAAATCAAAGGACCATTAAAATAGAAAATAATTTAGGAGACAATCAAGGGATCATAAAGGATTTGAAATCATGCCACTCTTGACTTCTTTACTAGGGTTTCATGTCTCCTTGCATGCAAGAGGCTCAACTTGTAGTCTTCCTTGCATTGGGCTAAGGTCTGCATCTCTTGGGCTTGACTCTTCATGAGTTTGGATCTTAAATACATTATACACATATAGATGCTCTCCTTTGGACTTGAGGGGAGTGCCCCAATGCTCTCCAAGCTCTTGAACTTCTTGCACAAGACTGAACAAGGCTTGCTTCATAGCTTTGGTTCGGGCTCTTGTCATTGGACCTCCAATATGTTGCAATGGGTCTTTAGGTATGTTGGATTGGAAGTATTGGGCTCCTTCTATGTCACCATGCTCATGATTACCATCCTCAGGCTTCGTTGCCATTAATGTTATGTCACCTGTGCCATGGGGCCCATCATTACGTCTCTTTAATAATGACAAATCATAATATCAAAAACTAATTTAAAAATAATATCAACATAAAAATTTATATACAAGAAAAGAATTTGAAACTGATACAACAATTTCAATTTCCTAACTAACCTAGTTTAATTTCTAACAAGCCTAACAAATGAAACTATTGTTATTTTCTAACATTGAAATCTAACTTCCTATCACAAACAGCCAATAATATATTCTGACAACTCTTCAACTAAATCTTCTATTTGCTCCATAGTAAAATACGAACATCTTACTCCAACAAAATACTACACAAGATATGAAAGTAATATATAAGTAATTAACATTATATCAACTTAATTTCAAAGTTTTTGACTTACATTTTCAGGAATGATCAACTCTTGTTGTGTGATTACTTCTCTCATAAACTTCATAACATAGTATCCACACTCCCAACCTTATAATTGTGTAGGTACCTATAAAACAATAAAAGATGTCATTATCAAAATATGGTGAAAATAAATTCTAACTTAATTTAAAATACTTCAGCGATGAAGTTATATATATGAATCATTTCATCAAGACGGTCAACATCATATGTCCCACTATCACGATCAAATGTTGAGTAGCTCGCACTATCCCTCCAATCATTTGCATCATTCCTTGTCTCCCCATGCATGGTCCAACAAGTATAAGTTAGATCAATCCCATTACAGATTAAATGATCTTTCAATTCTACTGGCTTTACTCTTTTTCCATAGCAACATTTCAAACAAGGACATATGAGTCCAAGGGGGTCTTGATCACAACAAAATGCAAATTCAATGAATTCATCCACACCATCCCAATATTCTCTAGATAGTTGATTAGCCGACATCCACTTATGATCCATATCACTAATATGATTATCAAAATTCAATAAACAAAAGACTTAGATTTCTATAAAAAAAAATTCAACAACATCTTCCTTAAAAGAAGAACCTCCCAAATGATCAAACAATCAAATTCCACAACACAATACATTTAAACTAAAAAAATCAATTCATCCAAATAAAAATTTAGTAGCATAATGCATCTAAATTCTGTCAATCAATTGTAATTTAATTAATAACAATAATCTCCCTTAAAAGTATATTTCATAAATAAAATAAAAATGTTCAAGTAGTTTCCTCAACTTTAATCTAATTATCAACTACAAATATTCTATAATTCTAATATAAATAACTCCAATTCATATATTATCTATAATATTGATTATTAAAAAAAATATATATGAAATTTATTCTCAAATATATATAAATATATCAATATATTACATTATAAATTAATTATTAAAAAAATACCTTCACAGTGTAGTCTTCACGGCAGAAACGAAAGTCTTCACGGCAGTAACGGAGGTCTTTGCGGTGTTGCTTCCTCGGCTGTACAGCAATGACACACGGCTGCAATGGAGGTCTTCACGGCGTCGCTTCCTTTGATGTACAGCAGCCGCACAGATCTGGAACAGCAATGCAGATCTGGAATAGTGATGCAGGAGATGGCGGTGACGGCGACGGCAGCGCAAAAAAAGAGACAGATGGCGCGACATGACACAAAAATGAACGAACAGTGATGAACACTAATCTGGAACAACGAACAGCAGCAGACGATGATTTGGAACAGCAAACAGTGGCGAACGATGATCTAGAACAGCAAACAGCGGCGGACGACGATCTGGAACAGCGAACAGTGACGGAAGATAAACTGATACAGCAACAATCTGGAACTCATTGGAAACGCACAACCTCAGCAAATGAGAGAGAGGTTTGAAAGAAACTCATGAATAGGGAAAAGAAAACTGACGGGAGGTAGAGATATAAAAGACCATCTCTTTCGGAGCGCTCTTTGATGAGCGCTCCGGAAGAACAACTCTTTCGGAGCTCTCATTACAAGAGCGCTCCGGAAGATGAGCTCTTTCGGAGTGCTCATTCCAAGAATGCTTTGAAAGAGTTGATCTTAGTCTTCCGGAGCACTTAACTACGAGCGCTCCCGAAGGTCTTTTTAAATTTTTTATAATATTTTATTTATATTAATTAGGAGCGTTATCTTATTGAAAAGCCCTGACATACAGGAGCGCTTATTTAGAAAAGCGCTCCGGTAAATTTCACATTCACATTTTAGAGTGCTTTTAAAGAAGCGCTCCTAAATACCCGCTTCTAAAGATATATTCTGTAGTAGTGAAAATAAAAAATTTATTTATTACTAATGATTTCCTCGCATGTTTGAAAATGGATTTGGAAGAGATTTTATACAGAACACTGATTGCTAAAAGTAGTTTCATTAGCCCTAGGCACGCCATGGTCAACGCCTAACTAGTTTAATTTTCGTGAGTTCTATTCTTACGTTTATTATTCATGGGCCTTGTATCTACATTGTTTCATGGCTTCAAGCTGCGTTTGGTTAGCATTACCCTCATAGACTGTGTGTCCACATTTGTTTTGTAACTCAGGCTATGTTTGGTTATTTATCCTCGTGGACTGTGTGTCTACGTTTTTCTTTACAGCATAGCCATGTTTAGTTATTTATTCTCTTGAACTGTGTATCCCCATTTGTGAATTGTTCTGATAAATCCCCAAAAATATGAATTTTTAATCAATTGATGATTTCACACTCTAATAGTTTTTAATTAGCAAATGTTATTATTTTCATTTATGTATTTATTTAATTATTCTGACTTGTCAAAATCAAATATTAAAGCTGCTTTGTTTATAAATTTAATAACTTGATATTGAAGTCATATAGAGCTATTATTCTAAGCTTACAAATTCATTTACATTGAATTACTTTCTCTTTAATTTATGTAATGATTATATTTTATCCACCTTAATGTTGCAAAACATTATGGTTGGAATGTTATTCATTGAAAAATATTGCTGGTCGCAAATAGCTTGTACCTCCGTTAGATCATTCAAGGGATTTTGCTACTAGATTGAAGTTGAGACATCGTTTTGGTTAATCTCTATTTTGATGTAAAATTTTATTTTATATATATATATATATATATTGTACTTTTATAAATAATTTTATAGGTTCTCCACATATATTATGGTTAGAGTCTTTATTTTGTAATATTTTATCTATTGGTTGGAAAGAGCTGAGTTCCTAGATGATATAATATTTCTTTAAAAATTTTGTATTGTAAATTTTTGAAAAATCCTATTCTCAAGGGGAATTCTGTCGGAATTTTCACAAAAATATAAAAGATTTATTTAAATGAAAATGAAAATATTTTTTAAAATGAAACATTTCTTGAATTATGCTTGAGGGATGTGTGTTTAGGTGCATATCCCATGCCCGTCACTCTCATATTGCGGAGCGTGACAAATTTAAAAAAAAATTCTCAAAGAGGTGGCTTTTAGAAAATAAAATGTCCTCACTCTTACATCAGTCTCGTGGTATTTCATTAATTAATGAAACATTACTAGATACCCATTATAGTATTGAATTTTATAGCATTTATCAAATGTCATGAGATTGAAATTTTAAACGACACCAAAACTCATTTCTACATCAGGGAGTATAGTAGGAGGGATTGTTAGGAGAGAAACCAACCCTCCATGTGATCCACGAATATCTCAAGTTAAGCCACGTGAATGAATAAATTTGGTTTGACTCTTTTAATTGATATCAATTATCAATAATTAATATTAATTAATTAATTATGACAGTCATTCAACTACAAAAGGAACATGAAATGTTCTTGATTTGTATTTGTAAAATACCATAATAACAATCAAAATCTTGCATTCAGGCACCACTGGAATTATGACAATCATCCAAGTACAAAAGACAAGTGAGAAACAGAACATAAACAAACATCTTGTACTCAGGCATGATGCTAAATTTCAAAACCAACTGTGCACAGAAAAATGTCCAAGATCTATTTGATTTTAAAAAAATAAAATAAAAAGGTCTAAGTTCCTAGTATAGTACATTCTCATGTATTCTGCAACGGATCAATCAAAGATTTTCAGTTTACCGGCCAACAGTTAAGGGAAAAGCTTGTACACGAAGCATTAGGAATAATCACAAACATAAAATAATGGATTGCATACATTTCATCTTCTTTTGTCAAACTACAGAAACGCAAATGGATTAAACTTTTTGAGTAACTTTATTCAAAAGAGAGAATACCAGGATGATGTTTTTTATTTCTAAGTTTGGTTCATTCAAAGAAAATTGGGAAATTGGATTAGGACAAACAGAATTTGTTGTAGTGATTTGCGACCGAACCAAGCTCCTTATAAGCATTGGTAAGGGAGAGTTCAGTAGTGAGAATTATACATTTGTTTATACCTTCAATTTTGCACCCAGGGAGATAGGCTTCTCACTTCTTATCCCAGAAGTCCTACCTAGAGGTGCGTGCACTGTGATCGGGAAGAACCCATTCACATTTGTATCTTCCCTCAATCAGAAGAGGATGTTTATACCTGAGGTTCAAAAACCATATGGCTTAAAATATAAGCAACGTTTGCTTAAAAGCAAATGCAACATGCAATTTAAAGTTTTGAGAGATGCTTTAAAACTAATAATTCTACTAAACCCTTTAATTTCATTCCATAAGATACCGAAACAAAGGAAAGAGCAGGCTTCTGTATTTTTGGTTATGCACTGTGCTATCAATATCTATAATCATGTGTTATCCATAATCATAGAGTAAAATGATGGAGGCTTAAGGGCAGGCTTCTATATTGTGCACACGAATGCCTTGGTTATTCTTATAGGGTGTTTGGGACATTATGTCATTATTCTTATAGGGCTTAACCTTTGGTTTGAATGGAAACAAAATTAGAGAAGAAAATTTCTTAGAAGATTTCCCACCTAGTATTCTTTATTCCCTATTTTCCTCCCATTTTCTCCCTTATCCAAATCAAGCCTAAAAGTACTTTTTGCCTTTCAGTTTGTCACTTTCCCCCCCCACACACACTCTCTCTCTCTCTCTCATATGATGACTTTCTTATATTTCATCCCTTATTATTCCTTTCTATCTTTCTGATTATGTCTTCCCTTCAATAGGCAGCAACTGTAATCGTTGTTCTGTGTTTCTGTTCTCTCTCAAGTCAAGTTTCGTATACAATCCCCTGGTTGTTATTAGCCTTCTTTTCTTTTAAGTTATTGCCATGATTCTCAAATGTATTTTACTTTTATTTAAAAGGATCTTGACTTACATTTATGACTCGGATGGATTTATTTAAATTTGGGATCCCATTTTTTTTGAAGATTAACTTCTTAAATCTACTTTAAAACCTCTCTAGCTTGGTAGATCTTTTTCATATTGGTTATTTCTTTTCTATTATAGACCTTAATTATCACTGGTTTGATTCTTTTTCACAATGGTAGATTCTCTTTTACTTTGGTAGGGTAATTATTTTCGATTTAAAATTATAAGTCAAACTCTTTTTAACCATGATAGGCTTTAAAGCTTAAATTGTTCTTTTTCTACTATGGTTCACTTATTTTTAATCATGGTAAACACTTTTTCTATCATGATAACCTTAAATATGATTAGCTATCTTTTAATTACCATGCAGCCTATCTATAACATCCTAAGTTTCGCAATTGGTAATTATCAATGTTTTCAAGGATAAATTAGTCAATTTAGATAAATTATTGATTAACGAGGTTTATGGGAAACTAATATAATTTTTAGATCCTTAGACAATCTTAGAAAAGGACTAGGGCTATATTTGAGCAGGTCATGACACAGAAGGGAGTTTAAAATTTTATGAGACTTTTTATGCTATACACCGTAGTGGGCATGTCAATACACCACGATACACATGCATAATTTGCACTTATCAGATCGCGAATTAGACTTGAAAAAAAAAGAGAGAAAGAAGGAAAAATGAGAGAGTGATGGAGAAGAGCTCTTAGTCTACTAGGGCATGATCCCTATGCTATTTTGAAAGCATTTGGAGCTTGAATCACCATTAGGTAAGTTTCACATTTCCTCTTCTCCCTCTTTTATGCGAAAATCTGGATTGGTGGGCAATGGGGGCTTTGATTTTGATTTCCTTGCATTTAGACCGAACCAGTTAGTTTATTTAAGGTCTTAGGGAGTTAAGTCAAGCCTCTAACCCTAAGTTTATGAGTTTTGTGGTGATTGTAAATTTTTTGTGAGGGTTTGGATGAACCCTAGATATAAATTGAAGATTTTGAGATAACGTGGGATATTGATTAGTGATTTTGGTGTGTCAGAATGTTTAATAAAATGGTTAGAGCATTTAGGAATAGTTGATATTGTTAAAAAAGAAATTTGGGTATTTCAGACACTTAGAACCTAGTGAATTCAGAATTATCCAGAATGATAATTAATGATTGTCACTTGATTATGTAGATTGAACATTGCTCGAGCTATCTCATGCGTATAGAACATGTAGAGCTAACGTTGAGCTACAGTAACCCTTTTATGTGACAAAGGGTTGAGGTAACCATATAATTTATTGTGTTTATTAACTATTTATAACTGTGTAGAAGTAATTACAAATTGATGAATTTGTTGTTTAAGAATTTTGTGCATGATTTGATATTGAAAAATGATTTTAGCATGAACATTGGTTTGTGAAATTGATTTCGAAAAGTCATTGATTTCAATGGATATCTGTATATATCTATATGATATGAAAGTAAATGTGGTGGAAAGGTGGATAAGCAGTGATAAGTGTGAAAAAGCATGATCATAGGGGGTGAAAGTTCACTAGAGATATGTGAGGATATGTGTGTGTGTGTGTGGAGATATGTGAGGAAAAATTCATATGATCGAGCTGGCACTATGGAACATCCGGTTGAGCATTATATAGGACTGTTACCATGGGACATTCAGACAGTCTGGCAACTCCCTAGTACCCGTTAGGATGCGATTAGGAGTCAATGACACCTCTATCACTAATGTATAAAGAGGGAAAAACCATAGTTCGTAGGTAAGATAG